ACATTTTCTTGATGGTTTCTTTTGTTGTGCAGAAGCTTTTTATTTTGATGTGGTCCCATTTGTTTATTTTTCTCCTTCGTTTCCTTTGCCCTAGGAGTATCTGTAAACATATTGTTATGAGAGATGTCTGGGATTTTGCTGCCTATGGTTTCTTCTAGGATTTTTATGGTTTCATGACTTAGATTTAAGTCTTTTATCCATTTTGAGTTTATTCTTATGTATGGTGTAAGTTGGTGGTCTAGTTTCATTTTTTTGCAAGTATCTGTCCAGTTTTCCCAACACCATTTATTGAAGAGAGTCTCTTGACTCCATTGCATGCTCTTGCCTCCTTTGTCAAACATTAATTGAGCGTAATGGCTTGGGCCGATTTCTGGGTTCTCTTCTGTTCCATTGATCTGTCTGTCTGGTCTAGTGCCAGTACCAGGCTGTTTTGATTTTAGTGGCTTTGTCGTGTAACTTGGAGGAATCACAATCCCAGATGCCAAGTTATACTACAAAGCCACCGTAATGAAAACAGCCTGGTACTGGCACTAGAACAAGACTCACGGAGGAGGGGGGGAAAGCTACACAAGGTGGAATTGGAAAAACGGGCGGGCTGGAGATGGGTTTTCTGCGGAGTGTAAAGCTGCATTTGTTGACCAGACAAGACAAGGCTGTGTCCTGCAGTCTGAGCCTCACTAAGGGGACGAGCCGAGCATGTCTAGATGCAGCTGCAGAACTTCACTTCACACAAGTCTGAGGTGCCGGGTTCTTTTCTGCGAGCATCTCTCTCACACACGTGACTGTGTAAGACATGCCATGGGGGTGATGGCTCCTCTGGGGAGTGGGTGAGAGGGACAGGGCCACCGGTGGTACAGGTGACTTAGCTTTAATGACAAATTGTCCGCTGCTCTGAACTCTGGGTAGAAGGAGAATTGGAGGCCTCTAATGTTATTGTTGTGTCTTCCTACCGCTGTGAGAGCCCGTGTGCTTCTGCCCCAGCAGCCCCACCTTGAGCTTCCCATGCACGGTGTTGGAAAGCGTTCCTTCAGATAAAGCGGAACAGCCATCATGGCTGAAGTGCACATTTAATAAAGCTATTGATCACATTTTAATCTATAAGTTATCTGAAAACAAAATAAACCACACCATTTTATTTGATCACTTATTTATTTATTTATCTATATTTTAAAAATCCACAACGTTTTAGAGCCGTCAAGAGCCATCAAGGTGCGGCTGCACACCAGCTATGAAAGCAGACAGTGTTTTAGGTAGTGCAATATTTCCAGCTGCTGAAGAGTGATATGAAAAGACAAGCTACCCCTCCTCGGCAAGAGAGACCCAGAGTTGATGCTTAGAAACTACTACCCGCACCCAGTCCCACAGGGTGATTCTCAGGTGATGGAAACCAAGATTGGGTCCCATTTCTTCGCGCAGGTTGACAGTTATGTGGGCCCCAGCATAATGCGCAAACCCGCTCAGTGTACACACACGCGCAGGAGAGATCTTCGGAGGAATGGAGCATTTAAAATGGCAAATCCATAGACTCGGAGGTTACTAACAAATCTTAAATGCTGAATTCCTGTCTGTAAATTCCTTGCTGTCTTTCCATCAAAGTAAACACACACACTGGCCTCAGGGGCTCGGCACAGCCAGGCCTGGACGCTGACGGGACCCGGCACCCGTCTCCACAGAAGCCATGAAGCCAGGTCTCGCCCATGTTGCCACCAACCTCAAGGTGTTTGCTGCTTGGAAAGGAGCTA